GTAATATAGGGAGACAAAGAGTTCTCCAAAGGCAGAAGGGGAGCATATAACAGCAAAACAATACCAGCAAAAAAAGTTGTTGGTAGAATTCTTCAATTTCATCATCACTGGCTTAAATGGTTTGTGTGTAAATTTAAATAATAGTGCCATATGGATATTATCTTATCACAAACAGCACTGTATTTAAAGACAGATCTTGAAATGTTCTTTTTGATGATGAATGCATCATCATTCTGTTTCAATTTGTCAGTCCTGGCATAATAAACCATATGATTTATTGGCCAATACCAGTCCATTTTAACTCACTAATTCCTCAGATATAGATCTTTATGAGCTCCATTTTATTTTAGACAATTTCCAATTTTCCTAGTTTTATACTTCATAAATTCCACGCTCAGATTGTTAATGGATATTTCCAGCTATTTCTCCTCATTTTGAGTTATGCCATATCAGCAAACGAAGATTCTGAAAACTTTACTCGATTTGTGTCATCACAGTGAACTCTAATTTGAAGAGGCAGCTCTTCCTCAGTCATATTTTGAGTGCATTCCAATTTGAGGGGCTTGTATTCTAGTACTATATCTGGAAATATTCTGATGTTACTCATAATTTTTTCATCTTCTGCCACAATATGTGACACTGTTCCAGTACTATTCATAAGGTTTTCCATGGTTAAACATTAAGATGTAGTTTGCCTCTCTGTTTAGTCTGTCTTAGTCTAGAAGCTCTGCTTAAATCTGTCCACCTTGGATGACCCTGCTGGAGTTTAAAATACTGGTGACATAGTTTCAAGCCAGATGCAACTCATCAGAGTATAACAAAGTGACAGATGAGTATTGGTTATAACTACTAGTAGTACAATTTGCCTACCTCTCTCCCCTCCAAGACTAGGAAATTCCTACCTTGCTTCTTGCTACCTCTTCTCCATCTTTCAGTCCCTTAACAAAGGCAGACTTTTCAGTAAGCCATTTATCTTCAAGCAATTTCTTATTTCTGCCTTGTAAATATAAACTTCCCAATGGATGAAGGAGCATGAAGGTCTGACAACCTGATTTGAAAAGGAGAGGAAAAATGCAAAAATCTATACCTCAATACATTATCCTGCCACAGCAGGATATCTTTATAAAAGATACCTTGATTGAGGTATACTTGACACACAATAAATGGTACAAATATAAAACATACAATGTGATGGGTTTTGACATAATGTAGAAACATGTGAAACCATTACCATAGTAAGATAAAGAACTTGTTCATTGCCTTCAAAATTTTTTGTTCCCCTTTGTCATTCCTCCTTCCCAATCCTCCCTCCCACAGGAAATCACTGATCTGTTTTCTTTCACAATATATAAACTTGATTTCATTTTGTAAAATTATACATTTGTTAGGCACCATCGGGTCAGCTCCAACTCACAGCGACCTTATGCACCACAGAACAAAACACTGCCTCATCCTGCTCATTCCTCACAGTTGTTGTTGCATTTGAACCCATTGTTTATCTTGTTGAGGGTCTTTCTCTTTGTCTCTGACCCTTCACATTTCCAAGAATGATGTTGTTCTCTAGGGACAATATGTCTCCTGACAGCATGTTCAAAGTACAAAAGATGAAGTCCCACCATCTTTGATTCCAAGCAGCATTCTGGCCATCTTTCTTCCAAGACAAATTTGTCCTCTTGAGCATTTCAAAGAGGTCTTGTGCAGCAGATTTACCTAATACAGTATGTCATGACTTCCTCACTGGAGCTACCCTGAATGTTGATTGTGGATCCAAGCAAAATTAAGTCTTTTTGCTTCAATCATTTCTCCGTTTATCATAATGCTATTTACTGGTCTAGATGTGAGGATTTTTGTTTCTTTTGCACTGAGGTGCAGTTCATGCTGAAGACTGTAGTCTTTGACCTTCATTAGTTAATATTTCTCTTTTAGCACACAAGGTTGTACCATCTGCATATCATGGATTATTAATGAGTCTTCCTCCAATCCCAATATCAGGTTCTTCCAACTTCTTGCATTTTTTACTCAGTATACAGATTGAATGTTGTTGCTAAGTGCTGTTGAGTCAGTATCAACTCATAGAGACCCTACGTAGGGTTTCCAAGGAGCAACTGGTGGGTTTGAACTGCTAACTGTGTTTGGTGGAAGGATATAACCTTGGCACACACCTTTCCTGATTTTAAACCATTAAGTATGCCCTTGTTCTGTTCTAACAACTGCCTCTTGGTGTATGTACAAGTTCCTTATGAGCACTATCGAGTGTTCTGGAATACCCATTCTTCCAAATGTTATTCATAGTTTGTCATGATCTACACAGTTGAAAGTCTTTGCAGTCAATAAAGCACAAGTAAACATCTTTCTGGTATTCTCTGTTTTCAGAAAAGATCTATCTGACATCAGCAATAATATCCCTTGTTCCACATCGTCTTCTGAATCTGGTTTGAATTTCCAGCAGTTCCCTTTTGATGTACCGTTACAACCACTTTTGAATTATCTTTTAAAAAATTACTTGCATGTGATATTAATGATATTGTTAAATGATTTTCCATTGTATCACCTCTCTTTGGAAGGGGCACAAATATGGATCTCTTCCAATTGTTTGACCAAGTAGCTGTCTTTCAAATTTCTTGGCAATAGCTTCATCAGCTTGTTGAAAGATTTCAATTTATATTCCATAAATTCCTGAAGCCTTGTTTTTGCCAATGCCTTCAATGCAGCTTGGACTTCTTCCTTCAGTACCATTGATTCTAGGCCATATATTACCTCTTGAAATGGTTGAATATCAATCATTTCTTTTGGTACAGTGGTTCTGTGAAGCCCTTCCATCTTTTTTTGATGCTTTCTGCATTAATCAATATTTTGCCAAGTCGGGGATTCAATTTTTCTTCTGTTCATTCGGCTTGAGAAATGCTGAGTACATTTTTCCTTTCTGGTTTTCGAACTCCAGGTCTTTGTACATTTCATTATATGACTTTACTTTATCTTCATGAACTGTCCTTTGAAATGTTCTGTTCAGCTCTTTTATTTTCTCATTTCTTCCATTTGTGTTAGCATTGCTATGCTGAAGAGCAATTTCAGAGTCTCATCATATCCATTTTGGTCTTTTCTTTCTTTCCTGTCTTTTTAATGACCTTTTGCTTTCTTCCCAGAGAAACTGCTTTTAATTACCATTGTTTCCGACTCATAGCAACCCTGCACAGGGTTTCCAAGGAGCAGCTGTTGAGTCTGAACCGCTGACCTTGCAGTTCAAAGCAACCTTGTGGTCCAGTGCTTACCCTCCAGTGCCACACCAGTACTCCTTGGAAACTAGAGTAGTGGAAAGTGAACAAACTAAACACAATTAAAGAAATTTTGACACATTGTGACCAATGTAACTGATGTCACCGAACAGTTTGTGTGGAAATTGTTGCATGGGAACCTAACTTTCTATGCAAACTTTCATCAAAAGCTCAATAAAATATTATTTAAAAGAAAGAAAGAAGAAGAAAAGCAAATCTGCTGATAGGGTTATAGGATGGGCCGCTGATGTTGTTATCAAACACGAAAGATATATCATCATATCACTTGAAACTACATTACTTGTCAAAGTTTAGAAAAATAGATAAGTTAGACTAAGGAAGAGCAGGGCTTGAAGACCTGTATGGGAATACGTTTCAGAAAGCAAGGTCTGATAGAGTCAAGGTGGTGAAATTGGGATCATGGAGGGACTTCGGAGGTCTCCTTCCTCTCTGTCCAATAATCAGTGTTATTCTTCTTGGAATATTCTGAGAGTTAATATAAATGCATTCCCTCTTTTTTCTCCTTGGTTTCTCTTTGTTCAGCTGTATGCCGCTATCCTCTGGGCATGTCAGGAGGCCACATTCCAGATGAGGACATCACAGCTTCCAGTCAGTGGTCAGATTCCACAGCTGCCAAATATGGAAGGTGAGGATAATGACCTCAAGAAATCCTGAGTTCGTGGTTGGACAGATTCCCTCAACACAGTGCCCTGACTCAGGAGGTTGAAAAAGAGGGGTGGTGCTTGGCAGTATCTGGTGGGAACAAGGGAGGATATCAAATGGGCCTAATCTGCTCTGTATGTTTTCAGAATGAGAATTCAGGGTTAGGCAGCATTTTTTGGTCTGGCAACCCTACCCCAACCATACCACCAGAGCCACACCACCAATAACAAATGGGTTCATTGATATGTAGTGGATTTGTTCTACCTGGCCTTTCACTGTGAGCCACAGTAGCAGAGATGGAAACATGAATGTTATGGTGATCTGGTACTTTTCGGTAGGTGACTGTGATAAATTGCTCATAGTGTAAAGTGCCAACAACTTAACCAGTCATTGAGGTTTCCAACAAGTTTCTCCCAACTCACAAGGATATTATTGCACATAGAAGGGCCATTCTTTGCCATGAACAGAGTGGGATGGGTTACTTATGGTATCATTTCAGGGTTTACCCATGAACAGAGTGGACTGGGTTACTTGTTTTGCTTTCAGGATTTCTCTAAAGCAATAGATTCTACTCAAAAACTGCTCTGCTGGTTGGGGCCTTTTTTTTTTTTTTCTTAAAATCCAATTCTTTTGAAGTAAAATATTTCCATTAAAATAAAAAGCAGCATTGGTAGTAAAAGCATCCTTGGTAGTCTCCAGTATTCATATCTTGTAGAGTGTGAAAGAATAACATGATGATTGGATGGGACTGGTAATGGAGTAACTATGAAGGGATGGTTTCTGGGAGAGGAGAAGGAAGCATTCCAGGGAAGAGGCAGCATGGGGAGAGGCTACCAAAATAAACCTTATAGTGATTTCACAATTTTTTCCGTGGTAGCCCATCCTGGAGGGAAGAAAATGCAGATGGATTATTTACTACTTCTTTGATATGCACTTATCCCCCACTGTCATGTTGGATTTCCATGGCTTTTTGATAGGCTTCCATGCCCATTCTGCTGGTAAAAATCCCATCACAGAGCATAGCCCACACTGGAGATCCTACTATTCCTCCCTCCTCACACTCAGTGACTTTGTAACTTGGCATCTAAGCAATGAATGGCTAGCTTTATTAAACTGAGGTTGGAGGTAGGGGGTGCAGAGGTGATGGTAAAATGACTTGGTGAGGGCACCAAAAGTAAATTTCCTTTGAGGCATATAGAAATCAGTGTGGGAAATGAAGCCTACTTGTGATCTCAAGGCCACTAGCTCCCTGGTGATAGTTGTCTCTGGGTTTCATGATGCCCTGGGGAGAGAAAATTGACCACAGGTGGTTACAGTGGTGGCAGTCAGACTAGTGGGGAAAACCCAAAGAGTCAATTTGTACTGTGCTCTCAGTTTGCAATCTCTCCTTAGGACAGGGCAGTTGTTTGCCTTGGATTCCTAAACAACTCTGGTTTTATGGTCTCTCCCCCTCTCTCCAACCCTTTCCCTGTAGGCTGGACTCAGAAGAAGGGGATGGAGCTTGGTGCCCTGAGATTCCAGTGGAACCTGATGACCTGAAGGAGTTTCTACAGATTGATTTGCACACTCTGCACTTTATCACTCTGGTGGGGACCCAGGGACGTCATGCAGGGGGCCATGGCATTGAGTTTGCCCCCATGTACAAGATTAATTACAGTCGGGATGGCACTCGCTGGATCTCATGGAGGAACCGGCATGGCAAACAGGTAGGAAGAAGAGATGTGCAGACCTATAATGTAATGTAGGCTAGGAGAGGATTTACACAGGTTGCGTGTGTGGAAATGTGTGCCTCCAAGCCTGCGATCTTCTTGCAAATGTTTGACCCAGGGTCAGGGACAATGTGGAGGGGGAAAAGAGAAGAACATCACATCTACTGGGAAATTTGAGTAGAAATATTCTGCTCCTTGAATGAAAAGAAGAGGAACCATTACATTGTACACTTAAAATTTTTTAAATGGCAACTTTATATTATATTTATTTGCCCACAACAGTATTTTTTGAAAAAAAGTTGGGGTTTTTTTTGTAAAGAGAGGAGTCATCAAAAGAGTGATGACTATGGGATAAAGAAAAGTCAACACAATTTCATAGCATCTTCTCACTTTCTTTTCTCTTTCTTCAGGTGCTGGATGGAAGTAGTAACCCCTATGACATTTTTCTAAAGGACTTGGAGCCACCCATTGTGGCCAGATTTGTCCGCTTCATCCCAGTCACTGACCACTCCATGAATGTGTGCATGAGGGTGGAGCTTTATGGCTGTGTCTGGCTAGGTAGGTCTCTAACAGAGGGGAATGATTGAGCTCTTTAATAACCGTAACCCCTGGGAAATAAAGGGAATCAAATCAGAAGGAATGCACTCTGGAATTCCTATCAATTCCCTCTTGGTTAATGTAAAGAGAGGAACATTGTTTAATCACTCAGAACTTGGTGTCCCACACTTAGAATAATGTATTCAGAGTCACTTTGCTGACTTTAGCTGAGGAACGGTCTTCAGTAATGCTCCTTGTGTACCTGGATTGAGTCTTGACTGAAAATACTGTATATACTTGCACCCTTGAAGCCTAACTACCTGTGGTAGTTAGTCAGAGCCACAAATGTATCTCCCTCCCAAAGATACTGACACAGCTATATTTCCTTTGGCAGATGGCTTGGTGTCTTACAATGCTCCAGCTGGGCAGCAGTTTGTACTCCCTGGAGGCTCCATCATTTATCTGAATGATTCTGTCTATGATGGAGCCGTTGGGTACAGGTAAATTCTGGGAATCTTTGATCATCAGAATGGAAAAAGAACTGCTAGAAGGGAACAGTGTTTTTTCAGAGCTTGGGATCAATGTTAATCAATCAGTCAATTCGTTTTTATTTAGTCCCTGTACTAGGCATTGTAGAAGGACTTAGATGAAGTAAAATATATAGTCTTAATTAACAAGGAATGTAGCACTTAATTTAGGATATAGAATAGTTACACAGAAAACAATTTTCACAAAACAAGGCTAAACTTTGTGATTTGACTCCAAGTAATGTAGCCAGAGTTTTTGACCATCAAAATAAGACACATAGCCTCCCACAAATGTTGCCCTGCTCCTGAGAAGACCAGAAGAACTGAAGTAAGAAGAACAATTAATGAATTGAGCAGGTCAACAAATTCAGGAGGAATGCACCTACACATATAAATGTTTTAAAAGTAGGGCAAAGAAGGCAACTAGTAAGACAAGAACAATTCCTAGGATGAGATGAGAATTGGAGCAGAGGATGTATTGCTAGGTAGAAGGAAGCCATGGAAAGGAAAAGAACGTGAATGATTGGACTATAGCAGACATTGGATCTGGGAACAGTAGAAAGGACCAAGGCCTACACTAGACCAATGGAGAGCCATAATGGACAAGTTATGATCAGATACAGTAGCAATTGGAGAATCTTGGTGTGGTGCTGTAAGATAAGCATTGGTCTACTAACTGAAAGGATAGTGGTTAAGTCCTACTCCTAAGAAAACACTGCATAGTGTCACTATGATTCAGAACCTACTTGATGGCACTTAACAATGACAGCAATAACAGCAATTTAGAACTGAATAAAGAGTGTCCCGATTTATATTCCTTCTCATTAGTCCATTTCACTCTAAGCCATACTATTCTTCTTGTGTCATACTCCAACAGTTTTCTTTCTTAGATTAGTCTTTATCTTCAAAGATTGAAATGAGGAGAGAAGTTAGACAACAGAGAATCCCAGACTAACTAATGAAAGTGCTAACGGTGACAGAGAGAGGAAGAGATTTGTGAATTTCAGGAAAGAGAGTAAAGAATTTAAAAACTTTCATTGATTCTAGTGTAAACAACACGAGGAATGTCATTTATTCATTTAACATACATATTTTGAGGGCCTTTCAACAACTATGCATAAAAGAAGGTATAATGCCTAAGTGCTAGGCACCCAGTGACTTAAAGGATGGATGACCTGGTGATCTGTTTCTGTCAAGATTACAGTTTAGACAGGGCCAGGCTACGTGACAACATCCAATAACACCAAGTATGCCTGTCATATATTCTGATAGAGCAGTTATAGTGGAAATAAATGGGGAACTTTAGATGGCAAATCAAGTTTTACATGGCATGATGATAGAGCAATTCTACTCTGTCCTATAGGATTGCTATGAATTAGAATGAACTCCATGACAGTGAGTCTAGTTTTTTGGTTTGATGATGAATTTGGTTTGGGATACAACTTTCAGGGGCTGACAGTATAGCCAAATCAAAAAAACAAGGCCCAAAGCGTGAAATTATGACTCTGGATCCCAGAGGAAAGTTCAGAATGAGTTACAGATATTTAAGTATAATCAGCTTCTACTCACTAATTGAGACAACAAGCCAGAGCTGAGTGATGAGAGCCGAGTTACCTAGTTCAGGGTCTCATTACGTGAATAGTCATGGTAGGGAGATTTTTTTTCACTTAAGAATTACAAAAGTAATACTTATAATAATTTTTAAAATTCTAAAGTATATAAAATGGACAGGGAAAGCATTTTCCCCCTTATTTTTTCCCTACTTGAATTAATTTTGACCAAGAAGAAACTGAATAAGTGTGGTTTTTTGTTTTTGTTTTTGTTTTTTTCATTTGTCTTCTCTTTTAATAGACTTCCATGGGAATTGATTTTTCTGGGGAAAAACTGGGGAATAATATTCATTGCAAGTAAAAATGTATGTTCTCCTAGTCTTCTGATCTATCGAGAAAAAAAAGATGGCAAACCCTTTGAAGGGAGATCCAGGTTCTGGTGACTATGGATAAAGTCAGTCAAATTTGATAATTTGCCAAACACTTTTTCAATGAATAAATATATTTCAAAATGTATCTGTAAGCCTGGCATAATTGCCCAATCTTTTTTTTTTTTCAATTCACAAATTTTACGTATTATTGGTTCTGACTGAAAATAAACCTTAAGGGTTGCATGAGTTATTGCTGAGAGTGAATATCCTAGTTTCTTTATTTGGGAGACTCCTGACTTACCTTTGAGAGCTGGAGATACAGAACTTGAGAGGTGAAAACTTCGACATAATGGGTTCTTGCTCGGTTCCTCCCGTGAAAGATGGAAAGGGGTTTCTTTACGTCCCACAAGTAGACAAATTAACAGAAATACACCATCCGACAGTCAGATTTCCAACAAACTTGGCCATTCAAAACAATGTTACGAAGTGGAAAAATCTGCTGAGCTAGGAAAACAAAAGGAAACCCAATACCCGAGACTTCCATGAAACCCATGCATTGTACTCTATCAGAATAACATTCTACAAATTCAATTACAGTTAAACACAAACTAGGATTTAATACTGGTAGACATTATATACTTAAATGTATTGTTTATATGCTACTGCTGTGTGCTGTTGTGTTGGTTCCAACTCATAGCGATCCTGTATAGAGGTTCTGAGGCTGTAAATTTTTTCAGGAGTAGAAAGCTACATCTTTCTCCCGAGGAGCACCTGGTAGAATTGAACTGCTGACCTGGTGTTTAGCAGCCCATCGCGTAACCCATTATGCTACCAGAGCTTCATAT